AATGTATACCAGAATCTTACAACTTCGTTCCAGAATAATGATAATTATTGATACAATCTAGCCCAAGTAACATTTTAAGTTTTATGAAATACTACAAAGCAACTATAAAACAACATTCATAAAACTCTGGTCAAGGCTATTTTGTCATTAATGCATCCACCAAAACCTCAATAAGACTGGAATATGTCTAGTTGGCCCACCCTGGAGAAGGTTCTGAAGGGTGTATTCTCGAAGCTCTTCAAAATTGATTTACTACAAAAGGTTGTATGACGAACGCATTAAGAACCATTTGAAAGCTACAATAAAAGCTATTTAGCAACAATAAAAACCCTTTCAAAGCCATTTCCCCTAGCTACTTGCTAAATCCACTAGGAAAACATCAATCAAGATAGAAAAGGATTTATGAATCCGATCTTATTAATACATTTAAAATAGAAACTGATGGTACAAAAATCTTGTCTAATAGCCAAATTTATTACTATAGTTCTCCATAAGTGGCCTAGATTTAAGTGCCTTATTAAATGTTATGTGAAATGTACGTGAAAACATCGAAAAAAAAAATAAGTCCGCCCTCGCAAAACGTGAATTTGATTAATTATTTTATATTGAGAAAAAAAATATTCTTCAGATCGAGTTAGACCAAGATTTTTTTTTTTTGATTTTCGCATTTAAATGTCATTGCAAAATTTACCAAAATATAGTTATGTCCAAGGAACTATAGATTGAAAATCGAAGATTGTAAAAAACAAGCAAACTAATTGTAACATGGCGGTGACATAAAAGTTGATTTTCATGGCTCATTTGTGAAAAAGTTGTTTTGCTTTCAAGAAATCCTTAACAAATTCATAATGTTTTAATATGGCTTTTATGAAGAAAGCTTGCTGACTGAATTGTATTTATCTAAAGCCAATTTGCTTGATCCTAACCCGTTCAGATTTATGGCAGCATTTATGGAGGTAAAGTTGCCTGCAAAAAGTTAAACGTCAAAGTTTGTTTATCTTTCGATATTTAGTTGCGCTCAGATACTTTGTTTTGCAACATTTCGGATTTCGAACAGCTGGAAGCGCAATCGTTCCCGAAAAAGATCCCCTTCTTCCGGGTGGTTACAGAAGTGCACCATCCAACGATGCAGGGATGTACGGTTGAATGACATTTGCGAAGAGTTGATTCTTTCGCCGAATAAAATCGCTGCTATTGATCTTAAACCAGCTATTCTCTGCTAACAGTTTCAGTGGTTTGCTGCCGGTTGTTATTTCGATTGTCATCTATTCGCAAGGAAGCTGGTATGTTTTTCAACTTTCGACAATGATTTATGAATTCGAGGGCCCTGCTCACTTTACTCTTCTCCGCCAGATGGTTAGTCGTGGATGGTGTGCTGGTTCTTCTAAAGAAGTAAATTTTGCTGAAATCGACTTGAATTTTTCATTCTACTTCGTCTATCCTTCGAGATTTCCTTGTCATAAATTTGGCTTTTATTAACTATAAAGAACCATAATTTAAGCTCAATTTGTAAACAAAGTAATTGGGGAGTTTATAATGCCCTTTAAAAAGCCTAAAAAGCAACAATAAATGCTCTAATGCAAAACCTAATGGTTTTATGATTGCTTTTATAATGATAGAACACGTTTATAAACTATTTTATCAAGACACTAATATACAATTGCTAATGACGTTTATGCTTGAATTACAGAGCAGTTTTAAGGAGGGATTGAGAACTGCTTTAAATTTATTTTTAAAACAAGACAGTATTTGACTTTCTTGCCAGACTGTAAAAGGTTTTTAAAACAGCAAAAAGCTGAATTACTAAGCAGGAATGTTTTACACTTTGAAATGCTGTATTTATACTAAATGGATTGTTCATTGCCGTTATAAAACCATCATAAATCAGAGTGGATGCCAAATGGTCACTGAATTGTTACTTGGGTAGAACACTTTTCTAGGTTCCAGAGATATGAAAATTTGTCTATTTTTGAAGTTTTACAGAAGTTTCTATGTTCGAGATCTTTTAAATTGCTTGACAAATTTGTCCAAGACGTTCAACATTTTTCTCTGCTCCTCATTTTTTTTTTCTCAATTTCAACATTTCCTAATAAAGTTCTATGTTCAATCTTGCACATCCCGAAATTCAACCGATTCGCGATCTGGCTCTAAATTTTCAACGGTAGGTTTCCAAAAAATCGTGGCAGAAAAATGAGTACTGTGAGAGGAAATGGAGGTTCCAAGCTAACCTATTGATTATCCAATTAATACTGATTTTACAAAAACAAATTTATAAGATGCATCAATCATTTGTTTTATTTAATAAAAAGCTTGTAAAATGCTCATGGTGGTTTGATAATTTATAATATTGGCCAAAGCGGATCGCATTCAACGACAGATTAGATCGATATCTTTAATATCTTTCCGATCAATAAATGTCACTATTGGTCGCTTTTTTATTGTTTTAAAGTTACTATTTGGTCACCTTTTTCCGTTGTTGTAGTCAATACTATTGTTTAAAATACCCACTACCAGCCCTGCATATTGTAGAGGAATTCTATTCACAAAATTTTATCATTATCTCTATAGGGTTATTTTTGAACGCCTTTTTTGTTTAAGGTACAGTTTTTTTTAAACCGGGAAAAAACCGGGAATTGAAAAATGGAATTTGAATGGACGCCCTGTAATAGTCAACCGAATGTTTTTTTTTTTAATTTTGAACCAAGAAAACCGGCAAAAGTCGTGAATTTGGTAAATTTGGTAGCCACCCAAGATGAAATCCTTAGTAGCTATGGTGGTTTTCAGACTATTCTGCATTAGCATTAGCATCGAACAAGTTGCACAGGTGGTACGAATTCAAAACTTTGAAGAGCAAGGCGGATATCCATTAATGGAGAGATAGTAAGTAGGAAATAATTACTATCTCCCAGATAAAGACATATTCTGCTCCAACAGTTACGGATTGTCCTGGCCACGTCCTTACAACTTGTAGTGATAGGAAAGGTATATTAGTTCAAAATTTACTTAAGAGAGATGATGCAGAGAACGCTACGACTCCTCATAAATGTCTCGGGAATTTAGGAATTATGTTAGTAGGGAAGGTAAGCCATAGTCAGTGTTGCTGGCAAATGTAGATTTAAGGTGATACTCTAAGGAAGCCTTAGCGTGAAACATTAAAGGCACAAATGTCAGCTTCCACAAAACATACAAATTTGAAATTGCTACTCCTTGTTTGCTGTGCTACAAGTTTCACGCTAAGGCTTCCTTAGAGTATCACCTTAAGGGGCGACCCCGGCGTAGTGGTTAGCATCCACGCCAAAGTAACGAGCTCAAATCTCAACCCCGGACAAGTCACGAATGACCCAAGAGCGTTAAAGTGACTATATTAATAAAAAAAAAAAACTCACCACACCCGTAGCTGATTAAAATTAAGGAATTATGTTGTGTTTATCAATTTGTTTTATCGATAGAGGGGAAAACCCGTGAGTGAAAATAATGTTACTACCTCTTCTCCCGTAGGAACAAAACCTCTATGTCTTTCAAACTTGAATCATAATCAATTACAAATTTCAACAATTAACCATTATTCAAATGGAAGCAATAAAGTTAACGTGGTTTTCAGACTATAATTTCTCAAAATGGTTCGCAATAAACGAAAGTTTGTGAAGCACTCATCTAGTCTATTTCGTCTTGCTTCGTAGGTTCCCGAGCACACTTTTGATAATCTGTGACTTGCCTTAAAAATCCTTTGAATTTACCATAAAGTTCATTTGACCCATCCTTGAAGTTCACATTTTAATGAATGACAGTCAATTCGAGTAACCTTCACCTCCCAATTAAAAGTCCAGCTCTTTTGCGTACAAGATCAAACGTCCGAATGCTCATCGAAAGTAACATTTTGCACGTTCAATGAACATAACCCGTTCATTGTAGCATGTTGGCGTTCGCTTGTTTCATAGATTCTTGAGCCAGTTGTACGGCCCCAATCTCAACAGCATTCAGCGGGGCATCATGGAAGAGAGTGAGTCCACACACCCAAGAGTTCAGAGTTCCTCCGACACAGATAGGCCCATCGCCGCCCATATGCGTGTTCATTAAAGCCGTGCGGTTATCTAGCATGTTGCTAGAATTATGGTTAGCTGTGTGTTCATTCCTTACCCATTCGACAGACGCTCTCAATTGTACTGCATGGGAACAAATAATCAACTAACGAGTTGGAAATTGACTGCGGCTGTTAGATTTACGAGTTCTCTCTAGACAATCATCATCGCGACTAGAACGCAAGAAGCATCTCATCGTTTGTGAGATTGTTTGTGATGTCAGACCGGAGGAACGCAGTCAAGGCTTAGGCCACCCGTCCCGAAAAGGTTTCGCTGCTTTCCCCTTCTGTGTCTTTCCCATCTAAACTCACCGCGATCGAGTGCTCTGCTCTCACTCTCTATCTTTCAACCGTTCTTATCGGCACGAGGAAGCTAGAAATTAGTGGTAATTTTCTGTCGATGACTAATTGGCCGTTGTACTTAGTTGATAATTCCAAGCAAAGGCAATGCATTCTTGCTGGCTTGCTGGAAATGAACTTTTGCTGTTATCGTTCAGGCGACTCGTTTCCGTCCTCTGGTGGCGTCAAATGAGTGAATAACTCAAGGTATCGATCGCAAGGAACGTCGTCATCGTCGCCTCGTCTCGATCACGTATAAAATGGTAGGTATACTGAGATTGACGCTGCTGGATGTTCAAGATCAAATTCAATGCAATTCTTTCGTTCGATGTACTTAGCGCCTTTTACGAAACGGAGCTATGCAGGTGCTTACATAAGTGCAGGGAAAAAAAGGTGTAGCAAGGGATCGATTTGGAAGCAATTATAATCAGGAGAAACCCCCTTTGCACACAACTGTGGAGATAGAGCGGATTCGCAAAGATTTGCTCGCGAAGCAAAGAGTCGAAACGAGAGGAAGAAGTGGAATCAATAATAGTAATGTGTGTCGAATTCAATAATAATAACATAAAAATCAAAACCTTACCTTTCTATTCAGGTTCGAGTTGTCACTGGGGCAGTCGATCGGCCTTGGGCCCGTCCTGCTGATGTTCACGGTAGGTCTGCTCTGTTTCACGTTATCGTTATTTTTCTTGATCACAAAGAATGAGCCTGAATTGGTCGATTGTTTTTGGGGATGACGAATCATTCGAAAAATAAGAAGGTGTGTTAGAAAATGGCATATCAGTGTTGTGTTGGACATCGGCGTGCTGGAAAGTGTCGCCAATGAAGTCTTTGGTTGAATTTCGATGGGACACTTTCCAACACGGATTATACAACAACGTGGGTTGAGTAAGTAGAGTAAGTAAAAATAAATTACATTGATTAGGATCGCTGCTGGAGTTGGTTAGCGTTGGGTAGGAATTTGCTTGTGATCCGGTGATAAAGTTGGGTGAGTCTAAACTATCTGCCACTTGAATTAATCTTAGTGCTAGCATTCCTGTGTGGTGGGTTGTTGTCGTTGTTGGCATTTTTGATAGTAGTTACAGAGGAGAGAAGAGAAAAAGAAAAGAAAAAAACAAATAAAATCAAGAACTGTAATGTGCCGATACGGTGCGATATAGGTACATTCTGACTGACACCTGTTGTCGTTGCTGTTGCTGCTGCTGCTCGCTGGTACTGATGCTTGCTTTGCATTTTGCGAGATTGCAATGTTTTCTAATGTTATCGTCTAGAGCTTTTTATCGTTGAATGTTGGCAAGGTTACAAAATAAGTAATTATATTTTTAAGTTTTTAAAATCAGCAAAAAGTCATGTATACACCGAATTGGGAAAATTCAACACTGTGGCATCTTTCAAATAAAAGAGTGCGAAAATTTTACTGAAAAGCTTGAACTATCAGATTTTATTGAAAGATTTATGTAGGAAACAACAAAAATGTTCCACAAATAGATAGACTCAAGCATATTGTTTTTATAAAGACGAACCAATTTTAATCGAAAATATCTTCTTCTTCTTCTTTTGGAGTTTTACGTCCGCACTGGGATATTACGCCGGCTCTCATCTTAGTGATCTTTGAGCACTTTCACAGTTATTAATTGAGAGCTAGAGACCTAGAACTATACCATTTTTGCATTAGTATTATTGTGTGGCAAGTACAACCAGGGAAGTCGAGAAATTTGTTAACTCGAAAAATCCCTAGACCGGACCGGGAGTCCGACTGGAAAATATTATATATAGGTAGTGAAATTTACGTATTCTTGTCAATCTAAGCAGCGTCCGCGCTTCTATTAGCATTTCCTCAGCGTCACGCACACATATGACGTGTTTCTTTGTTTAAATCTGCTGCTTGCTTCTCTATCCATTCCAATCGACTGAATTGTCCAAAACTGTTTGAAAACGTTTTTACAAAGCTCCAAACTTGTCAGGTGATTGTGGCTATTGTCGGCAGTCTCTTTTTCTTCGGCCGCCTTTCGATTTGTACTGCGTGTTAACCAGCTGTTCTATTATCGGCAACACAAAATAAGCCGAATTTTGTAGTGCACATATTTCATTTATAGAAAAAATATAGCATAACGGAATTGCTGTCGTAAAACTGAAATCAGATTGAAGCTGGAAGACTTAATAATCGTGTGGGAAAATACAGTGAATTTAACGTTTAAATTTGGAAACAGTCAATTGCAATCTTATTGACGCTACTGAAAAAAAAAACATATCCAACTTATCATGTCAGCACAATTATGGATCAGCTAAAAACATTTATTGATTAGTCAGTCTAGCATGTTAATCGAATGGAAGTGATCCATAATTGTGGGATCAGTGTACGAGTAAGGAAATGAAATATCAAAAGCATTACCTGCACCAAAAATTAAATGTTCATTTAAACATCGCGTAAATCCTTGCCATTGTAATTTTATGCTTAACTATTTATAAAGCAGTAGAAGTAATATTGCCATCCACTATTTATATATTTTTTATGGTCACGCACTAAATATTTTGATCTTTTTTTTTTCGTTCGATGAAACACTTGTTATGATGTCTCCTTATTTTGTTTGGCCATAGCGAATATAAAATGACAATTTGAAAGCAATATGTATTTGTGTTTTTCGTTGATTTAGAGGAAAGTGGGGTAAGATGACCATATGGGGCAAGACAAATGCAGGCTTGATGGAGCCTCACTCGCGAGTTTGAAATGAGTCGAGCGTATCATTTTTCTGAGGAGTAGAATACCTACTGCCAAATCATTCCACTGAGCTCCAGAGCTTGTGAGCGAAGGGGGATAAAATGAGAGTGAGGTTTGCTGCCATTCATGTTCATAGTTTCTATCACACGCTCTTACTCTCACTCTGGGTGAACTCTGAGCTTCCTGCGTCGAACAAAAAAGTCATCCAGAGTCTCGAAAAGCGCCCCTCACGTCAAATCATCCTCTCGCTGAAGTTCACTCTCCCTCTCTTTTGAGGAGTTTTTGTTTACTTCTTCCATATTCCTGCCGCCACTCACTCGAGGTGACATGGACATGAATGTTTTAAAATCTCCAGTAAGTTTGAGGAGTTTCAGCAAGCCTGGACAAATGTGTGCAAACCACTGTGCGCGGAAAAAAAAATCTGGAAAAATAAGGGGTAGTTTATGGTAGAGCCAGCAAAACTAGATTAAACTTAGAATATTTTGATGTTAAAAAAATAAGGTTTAATCTTTGTTTCTGAGTCTAACATTGATTACCTATTAATGTAATATTAATGTATAAGGGTAACAATGTCTAAAATCATTCCATTCAACATCCAAAAATTCAACGAAATTCATGAAGTTTAGACTAATTTAATTACTAATTTACATACACACTATGAAAAAGACATGTAGATTTTAGTGCTCTGAGACCGACACATGCAGGCGGCCCTTTAGACATAAGATCAGTTGAAAAGGACGGGAAAATCAATTCAATCAAACGCACTTTTCGTCGAGTTGCACATGTTTAAGTTTCAGGACACTTAATTTTACATGCCATGTTGGTTTACGTTACATGATTTACATCAAAGCTGAATTACATCTCGTGTAAAAATTATAATTTCTAAGTGTGTAGCTTCAAGTAAAATTTCATGAACCTTGAATTTCTCGAAGTAGTTACCTTTAAAGTACATTTACAATTCTTACCTTTACAGAAGTTACCTTTACAATAGTTAACTAATTTTATGAAAAAATCGTAGGCATAACTCCATAAGACTAACAATTATACCCCATAAGTAGAAAATTGAGTCTGAAAAATTAAAAGTTTCGTTTGAATTTTAATCGAATTTAATTAAGTTTGCACCGTGGTGGACCAAATTCCTTACACTTCCTACAAAAAGTAGGCGTTTTGTATATAGATGTACGTATTTAGGTTATTTTCTTAGGTGTACGAATTTCGGTTCCGCACGGTTTGATTGTTCTTCAAGCATAGGATTACCCTTGAACCCGTCAACCCTTTAAGCTTTTGTAGGATTATAGAGACAATTATTTTCTAGTCAAATTGTGAAATTTATTCGAGTTTCGTTAGGGTGGCCATTTTGCCCCACTTGCCCCCATTAGCGTTTTTCTACGTGAGAGCGGGAATTGCGGAAAAATAAACTGTACTTTGACATGCTTAAATTATTTCGAATTATTCGATCGTAAACGCATGTCGAAATCAAAATTGAGGAACTGAATTCATTTAACACTGTCCACCTTTTATGGGTACTGATGCGATGAACTAGCACACACTGGCACATCTCCTGATTTAACAGGACCTCAGCCAGCTATTCTTGATATATTTTTCAAAACAAAACGGCAGCATTCTGGTCAATGCTTTGACTGGATATGTCGAACATTAAACAAGTTGAATCTTTTTTTTTTGCGATAGTTGTGCATCCAACTATGGAACGTCTTATCACTTGATATTTAACTGCCTTGCAGCAGCATAGCTTTGATTTAAAAAAATAGCGCTTGTTATGTGAACTTGATTAACAATAACAAACCTTAAGGACGGACTTATTATAGTTTCTAACCCAATGTGGATCGTGTACGCCTTTTAGGATTTCACTCATTCCATTTTATTTATGTTTCCATTCCCATCCCTAATAAGCAAATACCATAAACGAACTGTATCTCGGGTGGGTAAACTATCCCACAAATGGTTTGGATGATACCCCGAACACGTCGTTAAGCTCTGTTTTATGGTTATTTTTATTAGGGATTCCTATCCTTTTTCTCCCTCCCCGTCAGGCAAATGATGAAAAAGGCTGTACAAAGGCAAGACATAAATCATCCCATCTGTAGGGAAACGTGCCACCTGAGCCAACGTTCTTATACCCTGATGGGTCATTATTTTCGGCCATTGACATTGATATTTTTTAAACCTGGGTCGAAATCGGCCGTGCATTGAAACTGACGTGTTTTGTTTTTGCTGATGCTTTATTTTTCGCTTATTTTACTGTGTGTTCAGTGATCATTTAGTAGCACAAATGTAAAACTTCTTGTTGCTTATTTTGATTTAATTAGCAGAACACCAAAATTAGTAAAATCTGCTAAAATTAAATAATTATCACATCACCAACAACTCATGACATCTAATAGAAATGTTGTTGTAGTAGTAAATCCAATTGCAATTTCAACAAATTCTGTTGGAAATCTATGAAAAATTTATGAATTTATGAGAAATTTACCTTAATCCAGAATTTTTCATAAAGAAATCCTCTTGCGATTTTTGAAAAGGACATCAAAATTTACCCTTGGGAATTTTTGCGCCAATTTCTCATGGATTTTAAATTAATGCTCCAATTTTCAGCATGATCTGTTAAAAAGCTCTGTCCATAGGATTTTTTAATGGTGCGAGTGATATTCAAAGTATGTGAAAACGTTTGGAGAAAATGCATACTGAATTCTGTGGAAATTCAAACAACATTCTTGAAAACTCAAAAATAGTTAAATGAAAATTTGAAATTCAATAATAGTTCGGTTATAATCCTCTATTATTTTTCCCATAGTACATCAGCGCTATTTCAAACAAAACGCAAAATAATCACACAGGACTTCTTGAAGCACTTTCAGTTGAGGACATTTGAATAGCATGAGCACCAGTCGCCACCGCACGAAGGTGACTGTCTACAAGACGCTGATTAGACCGGTGGTCCTCTACGGCCACGAGACCTGGACTATGCTCGTGGAGGACCAACGGAACGGAAGGTGTTTTGGTACCATCTACGGTGGAGTGCAGATGGATGACGGAACATGGAGGAGGCGAATGAACCACGAATTGCACCAGCTGCTGGAAGAACCATCTATCGTCCACTTTGCAAAAATTTGGCGACTACGGTGGGCTGGGCACGTCGTAAGAATGCCGCACGACGACCCAGTGAAAATGGTTCTAGAAAGCGACCCAACAGGAACAAGAAGCTGGCGAACTGTGGCCATGGATCGAGTAGAGTGGAGGCGACTTCTTCGGACAGCAGAGGACAACAAGGCCTTAGCCTGATTGATAACATCCCACTGATCAGCTGTATGCTCTTTCTCGGATTTCTTTAAGTGATATTAAATGAGATATTCCGTTCAAATTCATACAACAATACTGAGACAATTTCAATGTACAAGATGATTTTTAAATATATTTTCAAACAAACAAAAATTGCATGCCATCAAATAACCCTTGTTGGCTTGCAATAATATTCAATTGTTGTTGAAAAATCACAAGAAATTTATTATAAATGTTAGTTCTTCTTGTGTTGTTAAGTCTCTCAGGGTTTGGCAAATCTCCAAATTAATTTGAAGGACTGCTATAATCAAATTTTTGTTGCCAAATCGATGAAAAATATTATAAAGTGAAGGAAGGTTCTTTAATTATTTATTTCATGTGCTTCTTAAAAAGTTAACTTTAAAAACAAATAATAAAAAAAAATCATTAAGATACTTTTACGGTCTTAGATTTGGCTCCTCTTATAAATTCTGCACAGTATATCAAAACAGTTTTTCGCGCTTTCTATACCCATCGTACAATATTTTTGATCTTTGTAGCCTTAGCACCCATGCCCACATTTAAATAAAATATACCAGGCCACTTTAATTTATTGTGACATACCCTGACATTCTTGGACATCTCAAGCTGAACATTAGACTGATGCAAAATTTGAAATTTTCGCTCCACAGTACTTCAACGATTCCAAATCGGATCCTGACTAACCTCTCAAAATTTGAACCCATTTTTAAACTGAGATGGCACAAACCATTTGAAGTTTGTATGGGAATTACTATGGTAAAACCAAGATTTTTGTTCATGTCCATCTAATGATTCACCATATCGGTCTGCTTCAAAAACTTTCAACTCTACTTGTAGGAAATTTTCCCAGCTACAACTTTGCTGAAGACCACTTTTTGATTAAATGCAAGGATCGAAAGTTATCAATGGCTCAATGCGCTGATGTCTTATGATCATGCTCAATCAACTGCTCAGCAGGCAACATTGGTGTTTCTGGTGCTTAGAATAGAGCACAAAAATCATGGCTACTATGTCACACTGCAAAATACAGTGTTGCCTACAGAGCAGCTGCTTGATCATGTCACCAATATCTTAAATAATTAATAACTTTTTCCTGTCTCGTTTTACATAGAAACGATTTTCAGCAAAGTTGTAGCTGAGAAAATTTTCTATGAGAATGGCTATCGAACTGTTTTGCAGCTCAATATGGAAAAAGACTAGAAGGCAATGAACAAAAAGTTTATATTTCCCATAGTAATTTACATGTAAACTTCAAATGGCTTGTGCGAAGCCTGTTTATAACCAAATAAGTTGTAACTTGAGGAGGCTAATCAGGACGCGATTTGAAACCATTTAAGCACTGTGGAGCGTAAAAGTCAAATTTTGCATCAGTCTACTGAACATTGCATTAGGTCCTAAGTAACATTGACAGATACTATTCGTCGACTTTCTCTATGTATCCCCACGGTCATGTAAAGACCTTCCCTGGTATTTTCAGCACACAGATCGATAAAAGAAGCTTTTATCTAGCATCTAATACGACAAACACAGCAAGAAACGGTTATGTGCTCAAGTTATTAACGAAAGAGAAAATCGACGAAGAGAATCGATCAATGTTACTTAGGACCTAATGCAATGTTCATCTTGATCTACTTTCCAAGTTCGCCTTTTCAGCTCAAAATTGAATTAAAAACACATTTTTGGATGGAAAGTATCGAATACGATGCATAAATCTGCGCAAACTTAACATAGTTCTGAGAAATTCAGTTAGCTAAAAAAAAGTTAGAGTATTGTAATAATCGAGATTTAACTATAATATTCAAATGTAATTTACTTCCATTTCCAATCAATTTTATTAGAAGAATTAACATACAATTGATTTTTTTTTTCACATTGGATCAACTTTCCTTAATTATCAAGAAGGGAAGAATGAATAGTATAATCATGAGACCAGTGTTGGCAAAATCGGCAATCAATTGATATTTTCCGCTCTCATGCGCTCGCAATATCACGCGTGATATTGGAACAAAATATCATACTTTTGATATTGATTTTACAAGCTCCTTTGATATTGCGAGACTATTCACAACGCGCAAAAATCAAACCGAGAGCTGACTCGACAGACACAAACATGATTCCGTTCCACATCGTTTTCTTAGAAAGAGATAGTATAGTTTGCTATCTTTTTTTAGTCTTCACCGATGGCAGACACGAAGTGACTGCTGCCAGCCGTCATGAAAGTTTCAAATCATGAAACTCAATCTCACCACAGTTTGTTGAGATTAGCAGTTGGTGAGTTTTGTTAGCTTGATATTCCAAGCTGCGATATCAAAGCTTGCAAAATCAACCGCAGTTGTTTGCTTGTTGACTTTTGTCTACGAAAATCAAGCGTGATCTTGGGCGTTGGTGAGATTTGATTTTTTGATATTTTCCCAACACTGCATGAGACAATGACACTCTCCAATATAAAATATTTTGAAGTACCGTAAAACGGGGTAGCATTGATAATCTTTGGAAGCATACTCTAAAGATTTTTTTTAACAAGAACTGAGGATCCTAAGTTCAATTCGTTAGTAATATGTTTAACAGAAATTATTGCATTTGCGCATTTTTTTTCTTGTCTTGTAAACTAACATCAGTTTTTGTGTTGGAATTACTTATAATACTCCATGAATGTAGAAAAACATGCTTGTCTAAAAAAGTAAGATCAATAAATATGACACTTTGCATAAGTACATAATCAGACACATCATAAGCAATAAGAAGACTACACTGGAATAGGAGACGGCGTAAAATACTCTACAGTGTGGATTCGATCCTATCCGATGAAACATTTTCATTGTTTTTAATCTGCTTGTTGTTGCACTTAAAACCTATTAAAACAATCTTAAGCTATCCGAATAAATATGAAGCTTTGGTCATGATCTGATAATCAGGTTTGCATTTATAAAAATTTGTGGATAATTAGAAAGTCAAAATCGGACTCTTACTATATTTGAGTTAATCTTGTAATGTGAGCAAACGTTCCCTTCCGTATAAACTAGAAACCGTAATAATGGTGTTAAGACATTTTAAATATCGCTAACATTAGTGAAAGTAGCTTGGGTTGGGTTGAGACATGTGTTCTTGTGACATATTTTTGAAATATCTTAACCAAACCATGTCATATAATTTCCACTAGACTAGATACTTTGATGATGTTTCATATAGTTTCTTCTGTTCTGTAAATTTGCCGGTTCCATCTGACTTGACTTCCAGAGTGACCTGATCAGTTTGACTTGGAACCTCCCTTAGCGAGCGTCTAGGAATTTTTCGTGTCGAAAAATTTACCTACTCCCCTGGGCAAGAAAATGATTGTACTTGCCACACAATAACACTAATGCAAAAATTGTACAGGGTTAGAAAACTCTCAATTAACAGCTGTGGAAGTGCTCAAATAGCACTGAGTTGAGAGCCGGAATAAAGTCCCAGTACAGACGTAATAATGCCAAAGAAGAAGAATATCGAACTTGATGATTCCTTGTACTTCAATGTAAATCTTGGAAAGCATAGTTTGCAATGCTAATATTCAAGACACACTGCTGTTGTCAAACGAAAGCTGATTTATTCATTTCATCGTACTAAACGTAGAGAGTTGTTTACACGGGTTCTTCAAAGCGTAATAAACAACCACGACAACACACGCCAATTTTCACGGTAGTTCCATGACTAATCGCCAATCAACCGACAGTTCTACTCACAGTTTCAGTCACAGATCAATCAGTGCGGTCAACATTGACCGTTTTTGGATCATTATTGGTAACATTCCACTCACTAAATTATAACACTTATATGCAGCAGAAGTAGCAGCAGCAGCAGCAGCAACGGCCCCGGTAGGTGTAAAGTAGATAACATCACAAGCGAGAATTGCAACAGTAATCGCACAACGAGAATGCAATCTATTTTTGTAAAAGAGCAGCAGCAAGACGAAAAAATAAGTGTACTGTTTATGAACATGCACTTTTACTTCACTTTGTGCAAACAACACACATAGTCAATAGCGTAGGGAGAGCACACACGCGCGCATCAAACCACCCCCTCGCACCCGTATCCATGGGAAAGCGAGGGTTCCCACTTATTCTTCATTCTTGTCTTGAGGCTACAAAGCACACACTACACAGTCCGTTTGGTGAATAGCTCAATTTCGTGTATCAGCATCTTTTGACCACTACAGTTCTTGCATTGGTTCAGTTTACATTCTGCTTTCTGCACTTGCACTTTCCGAGTAGCAGCACACCACCATCGGATGAGTGTCCCGTTCTCGAGTTGATAATGCTTTTTATCTCCTCTTTCTTCGGTCTTCTCACGTTTCCACACTATTATTATTGGCTCTTTATTGCTCGCTGTCGAACTCTGAGGCGAAAACAAAATCACGACACTCTCACTTTCATGCTGGTTCTTTTATGTTCTTTTTTTTTTTCGTCACCAGATAAGTTCTACTGACACTGCGACTACTGTTGCACAAACTCACGAAAAAATAGACTCGAAAATGTGTGTTGCCACAAACTAAAGGCTGAAATGTATTACCGTCATTTTTCACAAACTGCAGCTCGTCGTCGATATGTGAGAAGTCACCTGTGAACGAGAAAAAGGAGAATCGTCAAAGTTGGCGTTGGGTGGCTTGAGAGGGAATTTTCTTCTCGGTGCAAATTTTGTTATCGAACTTACCTAGTGTATTGTCCTCGGCCATGCTTATCAGGTCGTCACTGTGGGAGGTGGAAAAATAAAAAGATCCTCGATCAGGAAAGATGATTCTAATTTTTTTTTGCGTCGGAAAAAGGATGAGATTTTCCCCCACCGATTCTACACTCTCCTCGAAGTCTGACCTTCTTCCGTTTGACAGAGGTTTTTGCGAGATGAAAATTTTTCGAAACGTCAGTTGTCGTTTTTTTTTCTTCGTTTACTTACAGAAGAAAGGCTTTTATGGCACTCGACTGAATGGCAAAGGAAAGTACACGACAAATGTACTCACTCGAGTATGTAGTACATGTAGAGGGGTGGGAAATTGCACTTAGAAAAATGCTTCACTACTCGAGTAGCGTATAGATTCGACGATTGATGAGATTCACGAAACACAGTAGGCGCTGGGATTTAAGCGTAGTATGAGTGAGAAAAAAGTAGGAGGTGAGCATCAATCGCAGGAGGCGAGAAAAAAATAAATACTATACTGAGGAAAATTAAGGGGCTAGTCTGCTATAATCAATAATCTCATACTGGGGTGGTTTAATTACCTTATTTCTAAGCAATCGACATCATAGTCTAGCTTATTCATCTTGAATATCGTTGGAGCTACTCCCGGATCCAACGAAAACTATTGTCTCACTAGGATTTACCGAATTAAACCTATATAAACACTAAATAACACTTGAGCTCCGTTTCTGCACAGCGAAACTTTATTTTTTGCTCTTTTTCTTCTTTCCTTGGTGCTACAATATCCTTGCGTTATTCCTTTTGGTGCGTATACTGTTCTCCCCCAAGTTTCCTTGCGAGTTTCAAATCCGCTCCGGTTTACTCCAATAATGCTACTCTATACTTTCTCACACACACTCGCCGATCGAATGCTCTCTTTCTCTTGCTCGTCGGTCGGTGGTTCGTCTCGATGCCCTTAATCAAGCATACACATCCATGCACTGGCTGCTGGCAATGATGATGAACGGACTGTGCGCGGTCGGTGGTGGTTCAAAACAAACAAGGTCGGAATGACAGTACGACAACCGAATCGCGAACTAGTATGCCATAAAGCTGGTGTTGCCAGATGTAATGTTGTCACCGTCAAGTACGTTTCACTGAAAACAATTTTCCGTTACTAGTTAGATCGCAGAAAACCACCCGTGGAAAATCGTTAACTACAACCAAACACCGACCACCCCTCGCAAATCTCCGCGAAATGATCGGTTCCTTTTAGATGACACTAGGTCCAATATAAGCAAACAAACGATTGTACAATTGCGAAAAAATATATCTAATCAGTTACTGAGGAGACCAGGTGCCGTACGATGTGCGCAGCGCGACGGTTCTCTTACGACTGACTGAACACAGGCTGACTGACTCCGGAGCGAAGCGATAACTCTGACCCGTCCGTCCGTCCGCCGTCGTCAATGTTGTTGTTGCTGTTGTCGTCATCGTTGTCTCGGCACGGCGCGGCACATTGATGATTAGGGCTCTCCGTCTGGATAGTTGCGTCCGTCCGTTCCGTCTATCCATGCAAGCATGCGCTCATACCCTGGCTCATACCACTATAACCGGCGTCGCGATGAGTGAAGTTCATTTCACAGTGAACAGTGATTTTCTATGTACGTACGTGGTACACTTTGAAGCGTTCATTCGTTCATTCATTCACACATTTATGGCATTTGTTTACGATAGTAATTAAACTGATTTTCAAGCTTTCGGTTTACCAGTTTTCGATCCAACGTCGATTTTGGCACGTTTTGTTGATTTCCATTGGATTTAAGAAGTGGCACATAGGTAAATCCACTCTAAGCTGTTAAATCGAAACGGGGAACCATTCGCAATGGCTGTGGGCACTTGTACCGACACGTGTACGAGTTAATATCTCTACAGGTGTTACGGTTACCATCACTTTAGATGCAGCACAAGGAAATCCCCATTAGCAAGTTTAAAACCCCGATGGTTAAATCCGATTATGGATGCAAATATTGACGTTAGCAGCAATTCCACGAGAAGCGTTCATGGTGTATGTGTTTTGAAAATGGATGAAATTTTGCTTTAAAAACGCTTTACAAAACAAATGAATACTGTGTCTTCAGAAAAGATATGATTCTTAACTTGCTTGATCGTACGTAAATTTTTTTTTTTTTGAATTTACGCATTGTGAGATCATGGAAATCATGGAAATTTCCTTCCGTTTCTTAAGTGTTTATCAACATGCAACGGTACTCATTAGAAGGAAATCTGAAACTGTTTTTGAACTGATTCTATACGATTTATATAAGTTTCATCGTATGAGCATATATGAGCACATTTAGGGAGTTTAACACAAACTTCACGTCATCTGCAAATAAAATAAATAATGAAGGACCTAAAGGCGAGAACGTTTTTCATTTAAAGCGGACCATCTGTGTTCTTTTTGTCAAGTATGATCCAATCCATTTTAAATATGTACTTGCCATACCTAAACGTTTTCATTTTAAAAGTAGTAAGCGAATGTCTACTCTGTCAAAGGCCTTACTAAAGTCAGTGTATAAGGTCCATGTCGTTTTCATCTTTTAAAAGGTTTTGCCAATTTATGTTATTCAGTCTGCTGTGAATTTCGTTGACATTGAATTTCATTTTTAATCATAAACTAATTCAAAGTCAACAACGCTTGGGCTTGACCTATCCGAGTCTGTGAACACTGAGTATTCAATAGCCGTATGCAACAATGTGTTCAAAAACAACATTACGTTCATGAAAATGTGTTCATTGCATTCTACTTGCCTACCGGAACACAGTGAGCACATTTTCATGAACGAAATTTTAGTATTGATACAAAAAAACTGATTCCAAACATAAATGACGTCCCCTTTCACCTTCAAACAAAATTTTACACCGTATTTCAACTGATCTAAAATACATTGTTAAAAGATGGAAAACGAACAATCGCAGTAAGCCGCGCTTGAAAGCTGACGTGTTTTTCTTTATCTGCGTGTTTTTAGTCAGCGAATTAAATATTTTTTGCTTTAAATTTGTTTGCTATTTGTGTGCTGAAAATTAGTTTCAAGTTTTCATAAAGTTATCATTTAGTAATATATCATGTCGGTTGACCTTGAATCTAACCTCCAAAATCTACGACACACCTTCAGTTTCATTGTTCGGTGTCGAAAATTGCCACCCGGGAGCCCGGTTCTCCGAGTTCGGATGCCACATTTTTGACGTGTACTTCGCGGGGGGGAGCGAGTTTGAACCCGCGGTCCGGTTGGTGAATCAGCCCGGAAACGTGTCCGTCGCGAGTTTTGGTGGTGATTCGGTGGCCGACGTTGCCGTGAATAAGCAAGTTTTCCGCTTGTAAAAGTGCTCGACTGCTGGTATCTCGCCGGTGTCGAAGATTGCTAGCAATATGAAAGATGCCTAGCATGATACGCCCAAGACTGGACGGGTGGTGGCTGGTGACCGCGAAAGGTTCCTGGGAAAAGCACTAGACGTGAACCTCCTCCCGGATGACCATGGCAATGCAAGATAATTTGTGTTCGTTGAAGGAACTATTACGACAAAATGAATGCAAAACGTAAATGAGATGCAAAACGTAGAGAAAACTACGGAACCCATGGATTGGAGGATCAAATTAACATGATGAGGCCAGTCCAAATACTTTTTACAGTTTAAAACAAAAACATAAACTAAATACGAGCCAGAATTTAAAAGAACATTCTGAAACTGGAAGTGTGTGTGTAATACTTGTATCAATTGATAGAGGTAATACATACATGCGGGGCTTATTGTAAGTGAAAGTAACCTCGGAATGGGCATGACTCTCCAGATATTTTGAAATGGGTTGCTGGATCTGCAATAGAGCTGTCACCTTCTGACTCCCGGACTAAAACTGTCTACAATGACCATAAATGTGACATTGTAGAGAGAGTTCTTCCATAATAACACTGCCGGTCAGTGAGGGTTAGAGGGAATACACACACATTGATAAAAGATGGAAAACCATATTATTGCTCAATTCAATTCGAATTTTCCAAATGCCGGATGCCGGATGTTTGCACTGGGTTCGGACCAATTTTCGAAACAAATTTCCACAGCAGTGTTGTATCTTACAGTAGCTTGAAACTAAATTTATAGTTATTTATTTTCTATTGATGAATTTGTTTTACTTACATCCGAATGTTTATTTAGCAAGACAAATATTTGCACCACGGATCAAACTATCCCTCGAACGACGAACTCAAAAACTGTTCCAATTTAATTACAGTGCTAACAATCGATTTGTTAGTCACTGTTTGTTTTTATTTATGTTATCACACTCTCATTCGCTTTGTTTCCACCCGTTCCGTCATTGACGTTTAGGCGCAACGTTCATTGCGCTCCACAGGTACGGCACGGCGCAAGGTATGTGACCAGTGCTCGGCGGTGCGCACATACCCCCTCCCCGTAATTCTGGTGAGGGTCCCTCCATGGAGCCAGATTTACTATCCTGGATTTCCAGCACCGCCAATTTCATTACCGGGCGCCTGTACTCTCCTTTCGCCGTCTTCACCAACGCCTGCCTAATCCTTCCATCTGCTCCAGGGTAGACTTCCAACACCATGCCCCGTGTCCTTCCGCGTTCCTTCGTCTGCGATGTAAACCAGGTCTCCATGACTAACTGGTTGTGCCTCCGAATGCCACTTCGATCGCTTGTTGATCGTGGGCAAATATTCCGACACCCATCTCTTCCACAGCTGATCTGCCAACGTTTGGGACCGTTTAAAGCTGTCCCGCAACGCTTCTGCTTCATTTGTTTGGGGAACCTTTTCCGCTTTACCAGTCACCCCGATTCCCTTCACAAAATGGTTCGGCGTGAGGGCTTCTCCCGCATTCGGTACGAGACCACAGTACATCAGGGGACGAGAGTTGATCAGGTCTTCAGCCTCCGCCAACACAGTCAGCAACACCTCGTCCGTCAATCGTCGTCCGTCGTTGAGCACCTCCAACGCTGCTTTCACCGAGCGAACCAACCGCTCCCAAATACCACCCATGTGAGGTGCACTTGGAGGATTGAAGTTCCAGCGGGTCCTGGAATCCGTCAACTCTTCCTCGCAGTCTCCTTCGATCTTCTGCATAATTTGCTTGCTGGCGCCCTGGAAGTTTGTGCCGTTAAACTCGATCGGTTTGCCTCTTCGGCAAACGAAACGTCGGATGGCCATCAGGCACGACTGAGTGGACAAGCTATGAGCGACCTCAAGATGGATTGCCCTCGTTGCTAGGCAAGTGAAGAGACAAATCCACCGCTTTTCCGATCGACGTCCAACGGTAACAGTGATTGGCCCTCAGTAGTCAACGCCAGTGAAGCTGAAGGGCTGTAAACCTGGAGTAACTCGCGCCAATGGAAGTGGAGCCATTCTCGGGATTTTCGTAATACACTTCCTCACTCTGCACCACACGCACGCCTTTGCCACTATTTTCAATTCCGTCCGGAGATTTGGAATCCGGAAACGCTGTCGGATTTCATTTACAGCAGTCTCCGAATTCGCATGAGCTGCTTGCTGATGATAGTACTCCAGCAATCTGGTCGTGATTTGATGCTTTCTGGGCAAGATGATGGGGAATCTGAGTTCAAATGGAAGAAATGAACCCTGAGCCGCTCTGCCCTCCATCCGTAGCACATCTTCCTCGTCCAAGAATGGGCTGAGGTCGTACAGACTGCTGTTTTTCTCCAACGGATGCCATTCGGTGTACGGAAGCTCTCGGTTTTTTTAACAGGATCTTGATTTCTTCCCCGTAAAACTCCGACTGCGCAGAACGCCACAGGTAGGCTTCAGCACGTTGAAACTCCTCTCGCTTCAGTGGAACCACCACCGCTTGTACAGACCGCTTCACCAATCGTTGCACCCTTGCTGGTGCCGACACCGTTTCAATCGCCAAGCCTTCCCGTTTTCTGATGCAATTGGACGTGAACCGGTACATGCACGCTACCGTTCTGACCAAAACTTTCCAACGCAAGAAACGCGTCGCATCTACCACGGACTCCGCTATCGAGACATCATGAATCAGATGACATGCTCGGACTTCTTCTGGGGTATTCGGCTCCACGTTGTCTTGCTGCGACCATTCTTCTTCCGGCTGATCAGGAATCGCGGGTCTTGGAACCGTGGACCATTCGACTCCAAACTGTTTCCTTTCTTCCACTTCGTTAGATCATCGGCAATATTGCTCTTCGTAGAGATCCACCGCCACTCGCTGTGTTTCGTGAGACTCAGAATTTCACCAATCCGAAAGGCTACGAATGGTTTGTATCGGCGCTGCTCCGACTGAATCCACGAAATCACCGTCCTTGAATCGGACCAGATGAACCTTTTCTTC